ATATGACCCCTTTAAGAATATATATATATATATATATGTATATAAGTTTTTTTTCCTAACCTTAAACTTTCAGAAAGTAGTGTACAACTTAAAATTTAAAAAAATATTAAGAAGGATATTATAAAGATGTTATTTTCAAAATTATATAATTTTATTCTAATAAAACTGAATCTAATTAGCTGTCATTGCACTAAATCCAAAACAAATTTTTAACATACTTTTTGGTAAATATTTGCTTTTTTATTCATTTGCAGCATATATTTTCTCCATATTAGAGTAATATATTAAAATAATGTATTTTATTTTCATTCAGATTTATTTGAAAGTGTTTTGTAATAAATACATTTAAAAAATCAGTCTTTTCAAAATCTCTCTTAAGTTTCCATGGCATTTTATCATGATCTCTACAAGTTCTCAAACTCTATCTCAATCTATGTATCTCTTCTTTTAATGTGATGTTATAATATCACATTATCTATAATGAATGAGCATTTATTCAGGTTTCCAGAACTTCCTCTTCACTCGGTTTCCATCTGTTACAGTCTGATGGCTTGTTGATAGAGTGACTCAGCTCTTGGTTATGTAGAGAGTATCCATGCAGACACCTGCTTCTGTTTGTCTAAGGTGCAGGTGTGCTCTCATTGTTGACAATGGACAGAACAGACAGTCTGTTTGTCATGCTGAACCAGAGAGAGAGGAAAACTGTACTCTGTGACAGAATAAAATCGGAACAACATTAGTTCAGCTATTTTTAAAGACATATTAGTGGACCAGTGACCCCTGCTGTCTCGCATCAGTCGACTGTGAAACCTGTTTCTTCAGAATCTAGAGTTCCAGTGAGGTGAGGTGTTACTCATCATTAGCACATGAGGGAAGGTTGTAAAGCTACAGGATGTTCTCTGAGCCTGACCAAAAGTATAGTGGGTCAATGTCAGTATGTCCAAACTGCAACTGTTATATCATCCAAAAAAGGAATTAGACTTTCACTGCGGAAAGTGCAGGAGTAAAAGTGCGATTAAATGCATATCCTTGATTAGTGCAAGATTAATGCAAGTCTTTGATTCAGAACACATAATTCTATTTCATACGCAGATTCAGACTTTTAATGGCATTTAATCATTTTGTTTGAGTTTAAGAACAGACACTATGCAAGATCATTTCCACACACTTAAGAAAAAAAGATCATGCTCTTAGACTTTCACTGCGGAGTAGCAGGAGTAAAAGTGCGATTAAATGCATATCCTTGATTAGTGCAAGATTAATGCAAGTCTTTGATTCAGAACACATAATTCTATTTCATACGCAGATTCAGACTTTTAATGGCATTTAGTCATTTTGTTTGAGTTTAAGAACAGATACTATGCAAGATCATTTCCACACACTTAAGAAAAAAAGATCATGCTTTTGGTAAATTATAATTCTGACATAAAAAATTATGTAAAGCTTATGAAATACTAATTCATTTATGAGATTAAAAATCGAAAATTAAGACATAAATGTTGAAATTATTAGACAAAAAGTCATAATTATGACATATAAAGCTATGGAATTTATATCATCACTTAGATTCAGACTTTTAATGACATTTAATCATTTTCATTTAAGTTTAAGGACTCTTTGAAACTATGATACTATATGAAAGGTCATTTCCACCACATAAGAAAAATCATTCTTTTGATAAATCATAGTTGTGACATATAAAGTCTAAATTATATATTTAAAAAAAAAATCATAATTAAGACTTAAGTTGAAATCAAATTTTGACATCAAAATTATGACAGAAAGTTGAAATTATGAGATACTAACTCATATTTATGAGATATTAAGTCAAAATGAAGACAAGTTGTTATGAATTATGATGTATAATAATTTAAAATTGTATCTCATAATTTGAACTTAATATTCATAGTTTTGACTTTTAATGCCATAGTTTTGACTTTTTCATGATCTACATTTTCCCCCTTATGTGGCAGAAACGGGCTTCCATGAAGTATTTATATACGAGTATATATGTATATATGCTTTTTCTTTTTTTTACTGTGACAATCTCAGGACCAAAGCAAATTTAATTCAAACTATTCATATTATTTAAATGATGAAATGCCATTCACGACCTATTGAATATTCACATACAACCTATTGAATTACTGCTGAAATATGAGGTATTTTTGAGTAAAACAAGATATTCAAAAATTTGTAAAAAAAAAAGAAAAAAAAAAAAGAAAAAGAAATTGTAGGGCCAGGACCTGATTTTGTCCACATTGAATTACTGCTGAAATATGAGGTATTTTTGAGTAAAACAAGATGACAGGTGCAGGTCGAAAGAGTTGGAAAAATAAGAGGACCTGGTGATGTAAAACCAAAATTGAAAGTAATTTCAGAAGTAGAGCATGTTATTCAATTTTGATGAAAGAAGACAAACTTTTTTCTTTGGAAAAACATGCACCAGTGAATCCTTCACAATAAGATCAAAACCAAGCCTTAAGAAAGTGCTACGTGTACTGCGTTAAGCTAACTGAGACTTGTTATAGCACTTGCATATCATTGCTCTTTTGTTGATTTTGATTGCTTCCATTGTCCTCATTTGTAAGTCGCTTTGGATAAAAGCGTCTGCTAAATGACTAAATGTAAGAAAGTAAAAAGTAAAGGTCAGTTTTGATTTGTTGACTTTAAAAAAGAAAAAAATAGAGCTTTAGTTTGACATTTTATGTCTCGCTGAGCTATCTGAGAAACACAGTAAAGTCACTCTAAAAGGTCTCTTATGTTTTATACTGGACATATTAATGTCACCTGATATCAAAGTCATTCTTTGAACTGGACTTCTGTTGTTCACTCTAACCGTTCTATTGAGCTAACCTTCAAAACTCTTGCCAAATCTGGGCCTTTTGATTTGTAGATTTGGCTGTGTTTAGGTTTGGCTTGGGTACCGTCTCCATTCTCAGATTCATGAAGATAGAGGAGGACACTGTCTACTCTCTGTGAGTGAACTTACTGAAGTATATCATTACCATTAACCTGACTAGGTCGCATTCCTTTCCAGTGCACACAAACCTCATATCACTGTTGGTCATTTTATGGACCACAAAGGCCAGATATATTGTATGATAGTGGCACATCAATACTTTTCATTATTTCACTCCTTATCCAAATGTCATAAAGTTCATCCATTTAGCATTTAACCATAGCACATAACCACTAGACGACAAGTAACATTTATAAGGGCTCTAACCTGTAGGGTTTGGAAGTCAGGCTGATTTGGAGTGAGTTAAAACGAGCTGAGCTGAAATGATAAACCTCTTGTGGGCAGGTCTACAGCAGCGTTTTATTAAAGGACTCTTTGTTTACTGTTTGTTCCAGGTCATATTGATTGACTAAAGTTGAAAGCCACTGTACTCACTGAAGAAGAAAAAAAGCAAGCCATGAAGAGTGCAGCTTGTAAAGCAGCTCACTATGAAACCGTTACAGTCTTGTTGATCAAAATAAAAAGTTAAATGCAACTTTGCAGATATGAAAAAATTAGCTAAATAAGATAAATATTGTTTATATTAATAAAAAACCTCTAGAAACCTCTAATAAATAATTTAATTAATTTATATTAAAGGGTTAGTTCACTCAAAAATGAAAATTAGGCTGTGTTTTACTCAAATTGATTATTACGTTTTAAATGGTTATTTTTCTTACAAAAACGCATCGATTCGCTACAGGAGGACTTTGTTCACCCATAATTAAAATTATTAGTATTAATAATTAATCAATAAATATAAACATCACCCTCTAGAAATCATTACCATTTTAAACAAATAATAAATAATTTATTGATTCATAATAATGATGATGATAATATAAAAAAATTATAACAAATCCAAACATTAGCCTTTAAAAAAAATAAAAAATAAACTTAATAATTTTTTGTAAATTTAAATTGACTAAATTTAATGTAATTTTATTTAAATTTAACGTAAATTCAATTAACTATTAATAGTGATAATAAAAAACCTCTAAAAAATTATTTATTAATATAATTTATATACAATTTATAATTTATTCACTGAATAACAACAACGATGATAATAATAATAATATACAAACTTTACAATCATTACAATTCTAAACAAAGAAGTAATTTAATTCATTTATTAATTACTAATAATAAAAACATTTTTTTTACAAATATACATATTATTATACTGTATATCATATATCATTATATATCATTTATTATTATTATTACTATTATCATTAATAATAATAATAATAATAATAATCTGCTTCTCATTGCAGGTGGTTCCTGAAATGAACTCTTGAAGCCAAAAAGACATTATCTCTTTTCTCTCTGCCCAGAATGTGCCAACCTAGTCTTGAACCGAATCAACCTGGCCCTTTTCCTTTCGACAAAAGACACTTTGGTGTAGAATGGAGCTCTCCCACGCTCTCCAGAACAAACTGCACAAAGATGCAGCCTCCCACCATCATTAAAATACTGCTGTATCTGTAATGCACTGTATACTCTAAAATCAGCTAAAACATACAACAGCCATATGTTTGTAAATGCTACTGGCTGATATATACGTATGAAACTATCAAAACTATCAATTAAAAACATAATACACTTAAGAGTTTCATACTATTTAATAATGCAGTTCTTAACTTTTAGATAACGTTGAAACAAATTGTTTCTTTGACAAAAATATGTTTTTTTGGATATGATTATATTAACTTAAAGGCAGTACACAAAGCATAAAGTTTTTTTTATATATATGCAACAGGACTTAGAAAACATATATAAGTGCAATGTTAAGGCAGTTATTCTTGGCGAATACACTTTAAATTCAACAATCCCTGATAGTTTTACATAAGAAATATAAATGCTTGCTAGAGCCATCGTTTTCATTTTATTTCAGTTATAATATAGTGGCTGCGCTACAACACTCTGTACCTCTCAAGTTTTTCTCCTTGACTTTATTTACTCCATTTTGGCACAGTTGTGATTTCAGGAGTCGAGTGTTTCCTCTTTGGCTAATGAACTCCGATTAAGAGTCCTGCCTATTGATCTTTTTGAGTCTCTTCATCCTCTCCTGCCGGACTGTCTCTGCTTCCAGAGAGGAAATCTCTGTGAGCCTCTGAACAAAAGAGGCCGAGGCACCCAGGTGTGGATCAGGGTACGACTGGGCTGAAAAACAATTACCGGCCCACAGGCTGGTTAGACAAGAGCACAGTTTGCTTATTCAAATTTACACAGGTAATGCTCATCTCACCTCATACAAAAGACTGGGAATTTCAATAATGGCCTACAGTCTGGCGGGGGGACGTGAGGTATGTGTGTACTTAAGCGTTAAGTGAGTTAAATGTGTGTATTTTATGTTTGTGAGCTCATGAAAAACACAAGCACATGTGAAATTCATCAATGTGTGCGTTCTGAATCTGTAAACGGAGTGGAGTGAGAGATCTCACCTGTTAAACATTAAGCAAACATCGAACTAACACATGCTATGTGCTAAATGTATGGGTTATTACAAGGTAAATGACAATAAATCAGTTCTATCTGAAATCGCTGCATTTAAATGTTAGATTTAAGCTTGGAAGCTCACTTTTGTTGTTAGCACCATAAGAGAAGAGATTGTGCGCTCTGTTTTTCATCCTTAATCTGAAATGCAGAGAATAAGAACAAGAGAGAGTAAAATAAGTATACAATAAACACAATATGTATAGTCAAATACAAAAAAAAAAACACACCATAAAGTTACCTGTTTTTATAGTTTTGTGATAAACAGAGTCGTCCACTGATAGATGGGGTAAAGGCTGGTAACAGAACTGATGGAAATGAGGTTAGATAATCAGACCTGAAATTGACGTAGAGAATATATGATGTAGAGAATATTAGTAAATATTGCAGTATTTCAACAGTCTTGAAGAACTCACCCGCAAATAAGTGGTCTTGGGTCGTGTGGGCAGAGTTCTTTGCGGTGGGCAAATCTGGTTAAATTATGAGAGCGATAAACATGGAACTCCTGAAAGAGTGGATTTGTAGGGTTGTGGTTCATCAGAACATTATCTGTTTGGGAAAATAAACATATCTATGTTCTAAGGTTTCCAGAGAAAGCAAAAGAAACATCTATAAATAATAGAATCATCTAAACACTATATATAAAATAATTGCAAAAGCAATCCCTGACTAAATTTACTTAGATCTAAAGAGATGGTGATGCTGAAATTATGTGCTGCAAAAATATTCATGTAAAATTTGTGAGCGCCATCTATTGGCTACCCCACTAAAACTACCAATTACACATTTGTTCCATCTCATCAAATAATGATGACAGTATCATAATCTGAATGAATACACATGGTATTAAGATACTTTCTTTGCCCTTTTTCCCATTTGTATACTAATAATGATACAATAAATGACATAATTACTATCTTATGAATGGAAAGAGGGATAAATACTGTACCTTCAATACCATTAGTGATGTAAGTTCCATTTCGCCATCGTTTATCAAATAAGAAATGACGGTCAAAAATATCACTGTCAGACACATGGTTTTGTGAGGTACGGTTGGTCACTGCTGAGCGATTTTTGGCTAACAATGGGAGCAGTGGCCTGTGAAGTTGGAAACACACAAACAATGTAGAATAATGTCTCATATAGTGGCTTAATACATGCTGCCATTACAGAGTGTTTGTGTAGAAATACACAAGGCAACTTTAGTGACTTACAATCTCAGTGTTTGCATTGATTTCTGTGGAAGTTTTTATAAAGATAGCCTATATACCCAGACACCAAAGATGAAAAACCACACACACACACACACACACACACACACAATGTCAGCTTGTCTTAAAAACATCAAGTTGTTATTATTTTGTTAGTATACTCACACTTCAGTAATAGAGCTGACACTGTGAGGCTTTAGATCCCTTGAATCTACAACTTAAACATTAAATGTACATGTTAGTAAAGCATCTGACACGGCGGCGTTCATTGTCTGGAAACTCTTCAGCGCTGAACGTACAGATATTGAAATCGTATTGTATCCTGCTGGAGAGCCACTCATGTAATGTAAAGCACTCAGTATCCTCACCGTTCGGACTGCATGGGCATTTCTGTCTTGCTGAGAAGACATTCAGTCTGGATTGAGCAGCCGTGGAGCATCCAGACACTGGAGGACTGGAGATGTAGTTTGAAGGATAACTGGGTCGCGCGTCTGTAATGTTCTGTATTTTCAGAGGCGCTTCAGTTGGCAGTGACATCAGTTTAGGTCTAACGACGCCGGTATAAGGCTTCATCTCCACTTTCAGATGTAAGACGAACTATAATGTCATTTTAGGACGTTTAAGAAGCTTAACACTACAAGTTACGGCCATTATTTCAATGAATAAAAGTAAAAAACGGGAGCTGATTGACGTTTCCATAGTTACTACTACCAAAACCACGTGACACAGCAGACAGGATAAACGCAAAATGTTATTTAATTTCAGCTATAAAAAATAAACGTAAAAAGTACACGTGTTTATGTAAAATAACCTTTCGCAGTTTGTTGTTTTGAATTAGTTTAATTGTGTATGAATTGCCTATTGCGTATTGAATTGCTATTGAACATCACAGAAAATAGCCTATATTCATTCATTAATTTTCAATGCTAAAAACAGCACCACTGTTATTTTGTTTACGTATTTGTTTACTGTACTGCATAAAATAATGTTATGATTTTTTTAAACACGATTTACACAAGCCGTTCTAATCGTTCTATATCGAAAAAGGATGTGTAATTACAGTGTCAATCCAAGAGGTGGCGACCTTAAGGCATTTTTAACACATGCATCTGTCCCCTTAAATTATGGTAGGAACATGGATCTGCCTCGGTTCATTCATTAAGTTATTCATATAACATGTGGCTGAACATATATTAAAAACATTAGCTAACGACATTCTAAACGCTCAATATAGCCTATAAGAGAAAAATTTAATATGGCTGAATCCCATTAATAAGAACTTAAGATGTGTATGAAAAAATAAATTATATAAGTAATATGTAGCTTAGCTGCTCATAAATGAATCTGGAAATATAATGGGGTATATCTATGGATAACACATCCATTAATACATGTAGAGTAGGCTATTGAGGCTTCCAATACATAGGCTAATCATCATAAAGCCTAAGAATTTTGAGACACTGAAGCAAATGCTCTTTTGATTCATCCACTGTTTTCTAAGTTCATTAAAACTTGTTTATAATGTGAGCTGCTGGTGGAATGTTTGCATGCATAATTCATTCATGTCACAGATTCAATGATTAGATATGTAAAATGTCACTAGAAGCCCTCACATTCTGGAAACAGGCTGTTCATTCCTTTCTGTCAGATGAATGAGGGTCTCCCCCCAGCAACACTTACATTTGATCTCTTTCGGGTAGTTTTTGGAAAAATGTGGAATGAGTTTTGAAAGTTTTTCTAGGGAGGTTGAAGTTCTAGTGGTTTAGTGCCAGGACAATAACTTCTCCCCGAACATTAACAAGACCAAGGAGAAGATTGTCAACTACAGGATGCACCACAGTGATCACACATTCAGTCACATCAATTGATCTACTATTGAGAGGTTTAGCAGCATTGCACTATATCACCACTATTCACTGTGGTCTAGCTACTGGCTGCAGAAGCTTCAGAAACTGCTCTGTATCTGAACGCAAAGAACTGCAGAGGGCGACGAAGATAGTGCAGATCATTACTAGCTATGAGATATGGAGCATCTCCTGAGAAGGATATCTTAGAAAGCTCAGATCCATTCTTAAAGAGCTCTGACTCTTTTCTCCTTTGCCATCTGGTAACAGTTCTTGGCAAATAATTGTTTTCTTTCTCAGACTTCATTTGTAGTGCATGGGAACAAACAAGCAAAACCTTCACAGTTTTATGGTTTTAGGATTCAGTTTGTTTATACTTCGGTTGGTTTCCATATAAATCTTGATATCCCTATTACAAAATAAAATAATTAAGAGGTTTAACGTTTCATTTTCAGATGCACTTTTCTTGTACTCATTGCTATTTTTACATAATATATTTTTTTATGTCTGGCTTTTATTATGTAGCTAAACATAAACCTTTGTATTGCTTTTCAACAGCCTATTAATAGCCTACATTTCCCCTTTTTGTAGAAACAGCTTTGTATTGTATTTCTCCTTTTCAGTGTTTACCACTGAGAAATCTCTATCTAACATTCTGTGGGCTCCTAAAACAACGCATTGAACTACTTTCTTCAAGCAAAGCACAAATCATATAACATCCAATTATATGCACTGATATAACATATTAATTGAAACATCCACCTAAGCATTAAAAATACAACCACAACTACTTATTAGTCAGACAGGGTTATAACACATCCCAAACGTCCACAGCTGAGCCAAGTAGATGTAAATTTCAATCAGGCATCTGGGCCAATCACTCGGTCGGGTCCTGTGGAGAGGGGCTGGTTTAAATAGAGAGCGAGCAGCAGATCAGTCAGGAGTCTGTCTCTATCTCGCTCACAGAGCAGTGGCGCACTGGCAGCTATTGCGAGCATTCGTGCCGGGATACGATAGGTCGCTGGCGGGGAGACTCGTCTGTGTTGTAGCGTTAAATTAGTGCTTTTATTTGTGATGCCCGTATTCTGAAAGTTTGATGCGTTATATTGTTGATTTGTGTATAGGCTTTTATATATGTATATTAGTAGTTGTATGACAGTTGGGGTTAATTGGATGTTCAACCCATAATTAGGCGCATAGTTAAATAATAAATTATATGCTAATGGTAGCAGCACAACAGCAAAACTCAGGTTGATTAGTCATTTAGGTGTAACTGGACATTGTGAGACGTTCATCTTTATTTAAAACAAAGTCACAGCGCGGCATTAAACATGATGATGAACATTGTCGTGGAGTTTTTCGTGGTCATGCTCAAAGTTCTCTGGGCCATCGTGATGGCCGGACTGAAGTGGCTCATACGGCCGAAGGAGAAGAGCGTAGCGGGACAGGTGTGCGTGATCACCGGGGCGGGCGGCGGACTCGGGCGGCTCTTCGCTAAAGAGTTCGCCCGGCGCCGGGCTACACTGGTGCTGTGGGACATCAACAGCCACAGCAATGAGGAAACTGTGGAGATGGTGCGACAGATCTACAGAGAGCAAGATGACAACTCGATGGCTAAAGAGGGTAAATGGGATGATTTCATATTTCTATTTACCTGAACTTACATGTTTATCATATTTAAAATTAATTGGTCTATTGTGTTTAGTCCAGGTAGCTTTATGTCTTTGTAGGTATTAAATCTTGTTTTGTGTATAGTCCTTGAATGATTGATGTATAAAGAAGATATGACTCATACAATTTCTTTGTTTAAATGTCCAAGAACTAGTATGCAAAATTGATTTTAATGTTTTTCCCTTATTGGCAATAATAACTAAATAATAACACATGACCAAAACATCAAACAACACATGTGAAAACATTTTCTACACTGATTTTTAAAAAAATGAAATGTTATATTTTATTATAACAGTATAAAAATAAAATCTATTATAACTATTATTATTATTGCCATTAAGTTGCTGCACTCCGGGTGGTCAAATTTATTTTTACATTTTTTTTTATTTTTTTTATTGTTATTTTAAAATGCTACATATTTCTCACTTGAGAATGAATGGCTGTAAAAGTTGTGTAATTATGCAAACACTCTTTATTAATTAAATAAGTTTGTTTACCTGTGAACACCATTGTTTTGTTTTATGTAAAACCTCAGGTGTTTTATGGGGATATTCATTAGAGACCCACCAGTTAGTAGATATTGACCAACCGATTATTGGTCTATCTATATAAATTAGGCCATAGTCTTACCTATTGTTGCAATTATCTTAGTTGGCTCCATGGCAGAGATTTTTCACCAAATGCCTAATGTAAAGCAGATTCAAACTCCGAATCAGTTAATTAAAAAAATAAATAAATAAAATAAATCCCTCTCACTGCTTTAGCATGCAAAATTTAGTTTGTTTTGATCATGCGTCCTTTATCATGTACTGTTTACCTGATGACAGTCACATGGCCAAAACCTATTAAAATTTGCAAGCTTGCAAGCAGTGTGAGGGATTCTTTTTTTTAGATTATTTGCTTCCTACACAACTGCTTATATTTCTCAGAAAGTTTTTTTTCCTTTTTTTTTTTTTTTTTTTTTTTAAAACTCTTAATCAATGAAACTGAATCAAATGAAGCTTGAGTTTTGTGGTTCTCGACATCTCAGATAATGATCTAATGTGGTTTTCAAAGGAGCTGTTGGTGGCGTGGAAGAGGTCCCTCCGTTCCAGCCGCAGGTGTATACATACGTGGTTGATGTGGGCAAGAGGGAGAGTGTGTACTCCACAGCAGAGAAAGTGCGCAGGGAGGTCGGTGAAGTGGAATTGTTGATCAACAACGCTGGTGTTGTATCCGGCCACCACCTGCTGGAGTGCCCTGATGAGCTGATCGAGAGGACCATGGTTGTGAACTGCCATGCACACTTCTGGGTGAGTCTCATTTAACTCTGAAACTACACAACTATATACAGCAATATCTGATGTAACAGTGTAACCAGTCAATATGCATGCATCATAAAGAAAGTATAGAGCTCTTTTAAAGTGGGACAACGCAGGGAAATGCCCTCTTTTAGTGATTGTGCTATATCACATGATGCCACTGTCCATGAGCCCATCTGTTCAGCACATACTCCTTTCTCTTCTCTGGTATTTGCACTTGAGCCAAGTTGGAAAGCAAACCTCTTTTGCTCCATGCATGTTCATAATAAGCCAGAGTGGAGTTTTAAATTTTGACTTCTATACTCAATGTTTATTCTTTCAAAATCAATTACATCAAGCACTTAGAAGCTCAGTCGTTAAATCCGTCTGGTGTCGTTGAGTGCAAACAAATGTGTCTGTCGTTTGAGATGCCCCCCCTCTTAAAACACACCAATAAGTGTTGCATATTCCTCATGTAATCACTCCAGTCTCATCTGTCTTGCCCTTTCCTTCTTAGTCTGTTATCCATTTGCTTTCATTCATTCCTTTGTTTTTTGGCAGCCAGAATTAATATTTACGCCTCAGTCTGGATGTTCTGCTGAAGTAGACATCCACAGGCTGTGAGATTATGAGGATCTGGCATGTGTTCAGTAAGAATATCAGTACAGGAGCTGATCTAGGATCAGATTACCCTCCCTGACTTCATCAAGTCAGTCCCTGTGAGTTCTAACATCAGAACTGATCTTAAAACCATGCTTCCACTCAGAGAGGTTTTTTATTTACATGCCCCCTGCCGTTTCAACTTAGTCCTCTCCAAAGCTCCTAGATCTGCGGAAATAAACAAGCTATGAGCAAGAGAACTCCAGCAGGGGGTTTTAGTAAGATCACCAGGAACAATCTGCTCTGCCTTGGTTTGTTAATTTAAAGCCCATTGAAGAGCACATCCTGCCTGGGGAAGTACCATTTGGGCGAGTCCATTCTCACTTGGCCTCACTAATTAACCTCTTGCCAGTAAATGCGTAAACGGCCTGTCTGTAGTTTGCATTGTCTTACTGAGACCACCTTATGGGATGAGCTGTAATGGGACAGTTTGTTTTAAATCATGCTGCTAAAGTCACGTTGAGGTGGATTGTGGATGTTTTTTTTTTCCTTCACGTGTCTGTTGGGGATTTTTATATTTCATTGATTTGTGAGACAGAATGGTTAATGTTTTTTGGAGAGGTGAGGGTTGATATCATCCCAAACTGCCTGGAAAATAAATATATTGATGGCTTTTTACTTGTTGACTTTTTGATGTTCTTAGGGTGTTATGATATCACATTACATTACTTTTTTTTTTTTTTTTTTTTACATTGGCAGATATGTGAATGAATGCTGGAAGTCCTTCTAATGAAGCATGAAAATGCTTGGCCACAAACTGAGCTTTAGTGTACACCATGTTCTTTGCTATCTATATTTTCATTTTTTTAACTTGTGAAGTTGTTCAGTGTAAGCCACAGTGGTGCTGTAGCAGATGCACTTGTTAGAGCTGGGATTCTCATTAAGGTTTTGGTTGTGTTTGCTTAAGCTTTATGCAGCGCATGGTTCCTTGTGGGGGTTTAAGATGAAAGCAGAGCTTAATCATTAAGGACAGGCAAGGAATACCGAGTGGAGGTTGTGGTCATTAAAGCCACAAGCCAGCTGAACAGAAATGCACCAACACTGCTTTTCCTCTTTCTTTCTTACACAAACATGTTCTCTTAATTGGTTGCTGCTTGCATGTGGTTCGTGACACAAGACTTCCCTTTTTCCCTTCTTCTTTTGTCTTCCCGTTAACTGTGTTGGCTTTTTTTGTACAGATATTATATTTGAAATATGCATTTACAAGGTTTAGCACTGTCACTTAAATTAAAGGGCCTGAGACAAACATTTTTATGGGTGGGGGTCCTCCCTCCCCCGGACCCAATAAGTGGGCTATTATAGGACTCTGAACTCCAGTCTCTCTCAGATGATGGCCCTGGTGGTCATTTATTTACCTATTTGTATTTATTTATTTTTCATCTTAATTGACTTTTTTTTTTTTTGTGTGTGTGTGTGTTTTTCGAGCATGGTTGGGCACACTTTAAAAATGTAGGTGTTTTATGTATTTTTAATTATTGCAATTTTCAAAAGTAAAAAAAAAAAATCTAAGTTTTGTGTCCTTTTTAAAATTTTTAAATGTGTATTTGATATTTTAATAATACTGATTGTGTACAACATGCTTAATATGTCCTGGCCAAGCTATTTTAATTGCATATGTGACAATATAGGCAAGAAAACTTATTAAGCCATTTCATGGTCTTTAATCTCTCCATAATGTGCTAATATGGCATTCAGGTCCATTACTTTCCCATGCTAGTGGGAGAATAAATTGCAAAAGCTGTTGCGTGTTTTTTGTGTTTTTGTTTTAATGCATTTCAGATATTTGTTTGTTCCATTAACTGTTTGGTATTTTTCCAAGTTAAAGCTACTGCCTTCCAAATCCTTAATTTCATCACATTTTTCTTTCCTCTGGCCATAAGTGATGTTTCTTAAGCCTGTCTTCACAACAGGTCCATATCATCCTCTTAAAGAGTCTCAAACATGACCTGGCAGCCGGTTCAGCATCTTGATTTCAACGGTCCGCTGTGTTTCCAAACTCTTAAGGCAGGAAGGGTAAACTCCAGATGGACATCATCTTTATTTTGTTGGATAGCATGGTGGGAATGCAACAAAACTGGAGGAGCCAACAAGGAAGTGAGGCCATTAACTCAGAGCAGTGCTCTTCCAGGCTGAGGCCCTCCACTCTTTCCATACTTACAGCTGCATTTTAGTCCCAGGACCAGCGAGTTCTCCGCTGAGCCCTTTCAGATCGAATAGCCCATCGGAGTAGCACTGTGGCGGACTGACTGGTACTTGGCGAAGTAAAAGTTTAAGTGATGCAAATGACCAGATTTAGTGCCTAGTCAGATTTTGGAGTGCTGAATGGAGTAAGCTTCCTCCTTCCTCTCTGATGGTGACCCCATAATAGGCGATATGTGACCAGTGCATTCCACACCTGGGTGCAGTGGTGTCCGTGAAAGCTTCCTAGTTGCTAAGTGAGCGTGGCTGAAGCAACAGACTCAGGGCTGTCTCTAGAGAAAAGCATCAAGGGAAAGAGAGTCTTGTACACAAGCTTGCTGGTAATGGGGAGCTGCTGCCTGACCCACTTATGTGACAATTGCTTTCTTGTCTAGGGATCAGCTTGACAAGATGCCAAACGACAGGAGCCAAGTTCTCCAGCCCACATTCCTGCTAGACCAGGAGAAAGGGAGCAGCCAGGCAGAAGGGTCTTACTTGAGTAGTTTTAGATGGTCTTGCTCAAGGCCAATGCACCTGTACCCGTTATTTGACTTGGGGCGGCTTATATTTGCAGAGCTCCTGGCCAACAACAGCTTAATTTGGATTATCTGAGTAAGGTTAAACCACTTCCGAGTTCATTTTGATTCCATAGATCCGTCCCCAATTTTAATGAGACATTGGCAATACAGTAACAGCATATCAATTAGCCCTCACTTCATTTTCTCTGGGCGTTCAGTCTGAGGGCTGTACATCAATCTGGCCAATGCTTTGCTACATTTCTCTGGTCGGTCCACTTTTTTTTAAGTACCGGCCATCTGGGCTTTTCTGTGTGACAATATTTGTGCATATTCCTATTGGTCAAACATTAGCACTAATCCAGGCTGACACAGCAGCTGTGAAGAGCTTTGTGAGGAGCGATGCACTTGAGCTTGTATCAATTAGAGAGCACAACAGGCATAGAACCACTGCAAGGGCCAAGGAAGCTCTCTGCTGTTGGAAGTTAATTTAGCGTAAACTCAGGCGCTGAGAAGCAATTACGGAAGCTATGAATTAAGACATGAACTTCTGTTCAGTTTCACACATTTTGTGTCTGAGAGGTCAGCAAGGCCATGCCCACATCAGTGGTGGCCCCCTCATTCCATAGCTGAGTGGGTATTTACAAAGGCTCTTAGCCATTTCTGCTCATTTGTGCAAGTTCAGAGGTTATGGGTTGATAGACTATTGGTCAAGGGCCTGTGTTGTTAATGATGGGTTCGATTTGGTCAAGCCCAGCTACTTGACCAAAATCAAACCCAACATTACCAGCTTAGCTGACCAGTTAAACGTAACACTAGTCAAGTAGCTAGACTGGTAATGTTGGGTTTGATTTTGGTCAAGTACTGAAGCTGGATGGGTATTGCTGGTTTAATTGGTAACATTGGATTGATCACCAGACCAAAACCAAACCCAACATTACCAACATAGCTGCTTGACCAGTCAAACTCCGCATTAGTCATGTAGACTGGTAATGTTGAGTTTGATTTTGGTCAAGTTATGTAGCTGGGTGGGTAATGCTGGTTTAATTGGTAACATTGGGTTGATTTATTACCAGTTACTTCACCAAAATCAAACCCAACATTACCAGCGAGTGTTTGCTAATTCAAGGTAAATGTAGATTGAATGTATGGTATGACTTAAATGGTGTCCTTTCCAATGACTCAATGTAATGCCTTCCCATGTTAACAACTGTCTCCATTTCTGTACATCACATTTTCATTGATGGCTTTGATTACATTGCGCTATTTGAAAGGCTTCAAGTTCTGCAGCAGGAGTAAGTATTTCACCACTTGATGCAAGAGTAGACTTTTGATTGCGTGATTCGTGACTTTCTCATTGGAAGCAGCACATAGTCCAAACTTTCCAAATCAAATTTTAATACTGTAGATTGCAGTGTTTGGAAGATGTTAGCATTATGTGCACCACAGGCCCAATCTATCCTAATGCTTCATTTGCACGCATACTTACCATCAGTTTGGCATGCAAGGCACGAGTACAGCTTCAAACTGGTCCAAGTCTGCTCCCTTGAAGGAACCCCCCCAACACAATGAGATGAATATTAAGAGCAATTTTACACTTAATGCGCTGGAAAAATACACAGTTTACTGTTAACGTCAGGAATTAAATGCGTAGCATGTGGACCGCAGTGCTCAATCGCACGACTGGCCTGCCTCATGGAAGTGAAGTCAGTGGAAGTGAATTTGAGAGATTCCAGTGCCATATTTCAACAACATGTCAAGCTGACGTGTTAGGACGGCTGGCAGAGGTGCGAACCGCGCACAAAACCATGCAAGATGGTACCATTCTCAAGCGTGGCCAAGGTCCATTACTGTTGGGCTTGTTTATAAATGGTGATATCATTGAAGGCCTCTGGAAGGGGCTCTGTTGTTTTTGGCTCTCACAAGTTTTTTTTCTTTTTCATAGCATGTTTCGTGTTCCATTGAGGATTGACTATAAAGCCACAGGCGGTTCTGTGGGGCTTGTACAGCAAGTCTTCTCTAAGAAAGCCGTAAATGGATGACGCCGGTCATGTTTTTCATCATTATTGTGTCCACCTCCTCACTTCCCCTGGGTCTGAAGAGAATGGAAGATGAGGCATGTGTGGTGTGTGTTTTTTTTTTTTTTGTTTTTTTTTAATTCACTCGGTCTTTTGTCCAGCCAGGATCAGGCGAAAGTGTACGATGACACTGATTCATTGCATGAAAGAAACCGTCAATAATAGCCAGACAGGATGTCAGAGCAGCTGAAAACAGTTAACAAATCTAGCCCAGCAGATTTTAGTTAGTACCAGCTAACTACAAGTCAAGTTGTTTTGTTCATTTTCTACATTTTAAACCTAGCTTAAAAGTGTAGTTCACCCCAAAATCAAAATGTCATTTCCTTTAACTCGTGTCATTTCAAACTTCAATTAATTGTTGTTTTCAGTTGGCAATTTTCAGTATGGTTTACCTAAAAGATTCATTCTGATCTGGTTTACAAATTCAACTCCTTGACTCATAAATGATGATTTTTCACGTGAACTATTCCTTTAATCGTTCCAATGCTAATGCTTGATCCAGGCTAAAAAGGTGGTGTTTGTTTCCCGTCTTTGTTGACCTACAGCCGTATTGTAGTGACAGTGGTGAGTGAGTACGCTGCTCGGGCTTTGTGCGCTTGATACTGAGATGCCACTCTTGGGACCAACTCGTTGTGGGAAAAGAGGAAACCACAGACAAACCACTTGTTGTGAATTTGCAAGTGGTCTTTTCACCATTTTAATAAGCCATTTCAGACCAATACCAAACCACTCGAAGGTCTGGAGCAATACTTCATCCATTCAAGTAGTCTGTTTTTCATCCAAGTTAAACTTCCATGTCAGAAATGACAATTTTTCGATCTACCAAAACAAATTGAGCTGTACATAAATTAATCTCCTAAGTGCAAGTGGAAAGCAAGCTCCCTGTAAATGGCCTTTAAGACTGTAATGGAATTGTGTTTCTAAACTCCCCCAGCAGGATGAGGGTTTAGTCTCCGTGAATTATTAGTCAGGGAGGAGGGGAAAAAAACGGATCAAAGGGCTTTGGCAGAGACGGACAGCATCAGCAAAATAACTGTCTTTGTTCCCCCCCCTCTCTCTCTCTCTCTTCCTCTTCCAGACCACCAAGGCATTTCTTCCCAAGATGCTAGAGATGAACCATGGCCACATTGTGACAGTTGCCAGTTCACTGGGCCTTTTCAGCACAGCTGGTGTGGAGGTCAGTACATTGCATCCATCACATAAATCTATTGGCACACTGAAAAAGAGAGTGTGTTTGGAGAGTCTCGGCACGTTGACTCGCCATGGCATGGAAATTCGGTGCGGCGCACAGCACGCAATTAAGGAGCACGTTAATGCCAAAAGATGCTCAATGGTTTCACTGGGCCTACCTGCTGCAGAGGCAAATTCCCCATGATTCACTGGGGTTAATATTGGTGCTGTCAAACAATTAATTGCAATTAATCGCATCCAAAATAAATGTTTTTGTATACATAATATGTGTGTGTACTGTGTATATTTATTATGTATATATAAATACACACACAAGCATGTATATATTTTAGAAAAATGTTACGTTTATATATTTAATTAACATAAATAACGTAAACAAAAACTTTTATTTTGGATGCGATTAATCGTTTGACAGCACTAGAAAAAAACAGACTGGTTTAACAGTTTCCTGCACCTAAAGAGTTACTTTTAGTCCATTAAACCAGCCTGTGTTTGAGGGATCTCTAGTACATGTACAATCCTCTTCTTTCACTGCTGTCCAAACTGGTGTCATTTTCCCAGCAGTCTTTTGGGGAAACGTTACCTTTTTTGTTTTGTTAGCTGTACGTGCACTTCTATTTTACAAGCCCTCATCTTTACTCTCACTTCAAAGGGTCCCAAAAGCCCTGTCACACTGTCTGACCTATTATGTTTCCTTGAATGTGACTCTTTATGGTTCGCATTATTGGAGTGACTCAAGCCTCTGTGAGCCCCTTTATTCCAGAGTGTTTATCTACACGCATCTGTGTTTGCCCACTCCATTCTGAAGATCCCATCCACTGCGAACCACATCAAAACCCTCCCGCTCGGCTCTACCTATACTCCATACACGACAGAAGAATGCTAATGAAACCGTAGATCCCAGCGCTCCCGCGCTATTAGAGGAAAACCGCCTCGGGAAGCTTGACTAAACACCGTTTCCTCTCGGTTTCAGGATTATTGTGCTAGCAAGTTCGGTGCCATCGGCTTCCACGAGTCCCTGAGCCACGAAATCAAGGCTTCGGAGAAGGACGGTATCAAGATGACGCTGGTGTGTCCTTACCTGGTGGACACGGGCATGTTCAGAGGATGCAGAATAAGGTAAGAAAAGAGCCGTCCAAATGTCACGATTAGGTTTCAGATGGCCACTAAAAGAGCGAACGACACAATGCGTATCTAGTTCGAGTAGACATTGCTTAACAACAGTCAGGGTAGCTTTGCTTGTGGCCTCTCATGTCACTGTCAGCTTGGGTTTTCATGTGCACAATAGGGGCTTCCACTTGAATAGAAGGTGCATGTTGGATCTGTTTCCACTCAATAATGACTTGCTCTGACTGGCAAAGCACTTTGGGCTGACTTTATTAAACAAAGACGACTCTTAATCATCATGTTTTCTCCTTCTCTCCCTTCCTGGGCGGTCAGGAAAGAGATCGAGCCATTTCTCCCTCCATTGAGACCAGAGTTCTGTGTGAAACAGGCCATGAGGGCCATCCTGACAGACCAGCCCATGATCTGTACGCCTCGCATTGTTTATATGGTCAACTTTATGAAAAGGTGCGTTTGAATGGTCCTAAAACCGGACTTTGAAATGCCTCCAGATGGTCCGAGCAAGCGGAAGTAACGTTCTCCCGTTTGTTTTGGGTTTTACAGCATTTTGCCCTTCGAAGCAATCGTGTGCATGTACCGGTTCCTGGGTGCGGATAAGTGCATGTACCCTTTCCTGGCTCAGAGGAAAGAGGCGATGAACAACAACGAGGCCAAGAACGGGATCTAGAGGGCGCCGTTTCTAACCCACAAGGGATGAGGAGAAGACCACTGAGAGGGCAGAAGGAAGTGAAAAGACTGCGTTTAGACTGGAGCACTTGCATTTGGCAGATGCAAAGGTTTACCATATTGTTCCTCTGGAACAAAGAAAGCTGTGTACTACACTAAGGATTTATTTGTTGATTTATGTTTTGTGTCTTTTTTAAGGTTTGCTTAATGAAACCATCCATCTATATACTGTCAATAGTTTTGAAATCATACATGCAATTAACTATTTACGTAATGTAGTCACCAGCATTATCTAGCGTCTTTGTGAAACTATACAGTATGTTACTGTATGAACAGTAAATGCTTGTCACTTTTTTGTTTTGTTTGTGTGTAGACATGCACTGTATTTACTTTCCTCTACACTGCCAACATTATCTACACCGTTCAGTGTGGCACCATGCCACTCCGTTCCCCAATCAGATCCATTTAAAGGCAGCGGCAGGAGATCAAGTGTCCAGTTATGAACCATGTGATGTTTTATAAGAAATATTTTGCATTGTTCCCCCCACATTTCTCTTTGTTGACGTCATGAGAAGTACAAGTGGGTAAAACGCTGGTCTGTTTCCAGCTGCTGTGGGAAGGGAGTGTGTTATTACTCTGTAATCTACAAACTTATGGTATTTTGTATATGGAAATGTATGAGAGTTCGTCAGTTGGAAGGGATGGCCTGGTTTTCCTGTCACTGAACACTATATTTAGTTTTACTCGGCCTACTTTGAATTTATGAATTAACTGAAAATAATAGTTTTTATTTTGGTTACAGACCTATCTTTTCTTTTTTTTTTATAATGGATTCATCATGCATTTTATGTCAATTACCAGTTTCAGTCAATAACAATATGAATATGATGCATTTTTGTTGTACACACACACACACATTTGTTCATTTAATGTTTTTCCTTTTTGTGTATTTAAACCTGGACCATTTGAAATGTTTTCACAGATGTATGTTTAGGCAAAAAAAAAAGACCGAACACATGAGTTTAAACTACATTCCAATAGGCGTCCTTCACCGACTGTGATGAGCCTAAAATCTCTACCTCTTCATTTTTGCCATTTGTTAACAGTATGACATACTCTTTTTGTAACTTTCCTAAAGAGTGCTCTATAGAAGAGCGCACAACATGGTTCCAATGTTTAGTGTCTCTACCTAACTTAAATTAATAAAATGATTTAGATTATTTGTTGGTTTTTGTGTATTAGTCATAACCTCAGCGTCTCTTCATAAGCATGACTCTCAGCAACAGCAAATGCCAGAAATTCCTGAGCACAGAACTTGGTGCAGAAAGCTTAGGTTTTAGTATTTGCCAGCTTTTCTAGTAATTAAATTCCTGAGTGCATCCCTTTAATAACTTCCACAGGAGCAAGTGACTTGACATACTGGAAGTGAAAGCTCACAGAGGGGAACTACACCTACTGTACTCACAGACAGAAGCGTTATTGTTCATCACACAGCATATGGGTGGGAATTTGGGGGAGTATTAGTAAGCACTAGATTGGTTTGACTCATGTTCCATTCAAGTCAAAAATGCTTGTTATCTTTAGTTGTAAAAGTGATTGAGAAGTGAGTTTACTTAAAGGGGAAATGTATCAGAGGAATTGCTAAGCTTGTGAATGACAATGCCTCATCATACAGTTCAACAACAGCTGGAGAGTGTTTCATAAGAGATGAACTGAAATGCAATTTTGAAAGGTTAGCAATGTCAAAAAAACTGTGAATTGCTTACGAGTTATTTTCCAAATACAGACCTATTACATGTTGAGTGGGTGTAGGCTAGTATTTTTTCAGAAAACCCATGTCATAGTAATTGTTTGAGTGAATAAGAGGGCGTGCCATTCTGAACACGATGGGGCCTCGTTTATGAAACGTTAAGTAGAAACTGTCCTGCATTTAATCTTACGATCCTTTCACAATGCATACTGTATGTGTGATTCAGAGAATGAACTACACACACAAAAACGTGTGCACGCCTCTCTTTCAAAAGTGAAATTTATAAATCACAAATTATCTTGAAATTGTGCGCAGCTGAATGGTTTCAGATCTCCATTTTGTGAGTGCCACCTAATTAATTCCATTAACATATAATAGAGCACCAGTCAACATCTAAATCCTTTACGTGAGAATGGCCAGCTGCAAGAATTGAACATTGGCGTGGATTTTAGCGTACACATAGCCTGCTCTATGAGTTTACATCCATGCATATGCACGTTTTATAAATGAGACCACAGTTTACTATTTTTTTTTTTCATAGGGTCCATTTAAGCAGAATGTATTTTTGCATTTAACTGCACTGTTTTCGATCAGTTTTAACGCGTCTTTGCTGATGATTTTTTTATTTTTATTTTTATCTTAAAATTAAAATTATTTTATTTCTGAAGGATCTGGAGTAATTGGCTGCTGAAAATTCCGCTTTGCCATCACAGCAATTACATTTTAAAATAAATTAAAATAGAAAAACTGTTTTTATTTTAAATGGTAATAATATTTCACAATATTATTGTATTTTTGATCAAACCATGCGGCCTTGGTGAGCAGAAGAGATTTTGTGAAGTTATCATTTTAATCTAATATTATTTTGATGAATTGTAGTAAAACCAGTTTGGGACCGGCAAACATAATAAAGTATAATAGTATACCCACAACAATTAAAAAACAAAAAAACATAGCCTACATAAATGTCTTGTCCCCATTTTGTAATTGATAGATAACACAACTGAGATTTCAATTATATCTAGACCACTGAACTAGGAAATGTTTCCATTTTAGAAATCTTGTCGCCTTATCATAGAGGTCAGTTATTCACAAACCCATAGCAACAGGCACTGCAGACATACAGCTCTTTGGGCAGCCAATGGTTCCCAAGTGCTGAAAAGCACTGATCTCAAAGCAACTGACGTCAGTAGCCAGCAGTGGAGGTGTTTGAGTCAGGCTAATTGGCCTGACTGATGGTCCGTACTAAAAGATTAGTGTAATACAGAGACAAAGAAATATTGACACCTCAAAACTCCCGCAGCTATGGTAATTGGTGAGATAGGATCAGTCAACTGAAGCAACTCCCCACTAAGAAAATAATTAAGCTTCACAGAGCCAGAAATTCATAGCTTTGAAAACACAAGATAAAATGCTTCCCTTGCCCATACAGGATTTATTTTCCCTTTCACTCAGCAGAGTAACATAAGCACTAATTTAGCTTTAAAAGGTCGATAACACTTAATTCTGGTGGGAAAATCAATGAACTTTGTTGCCCTATAGCAAAAATGGCCAGTTAACAGCATTATATGAGTCAAACGGGACAGAGCAATTGTCATTGCCGAAGATTTTAGTAGCTTTCCACACTTGAAGGATGATCCAGTTATTCATTTAAGGTAAAAAATGATCTTGTTGCAAGGCATATCAGGGATACTGGCACATAAAACTAATAGTAACGTGCTAAATGCTTATAGGTATGTGAATATATTTAACAAATGGGAGAAAGAGGTCATTTACAAAGCCAGGCAACAAGTCAATCCATCAGCCTTCATATTGAGTTCCTTCTTCCCCAATCTGAATTCCACACTAATTGCAGCTACCTATAATTAACAGTAACAGTGAGATTAATCTGTTTCTTCATTCCCCGCCATAGGACACTCTTTCAGTCAATCCAGCACAGGAACCAGCAATCAAAAAGAAACTAGATATTTTCCTTTTCTTAAGAAATCGCAGCTTGCTTGTGCAAAACTCATTACTATAATGCTAGGATGTTGTTAGTGGTTACCTAGGTATTGCTACACACTTGCTACTGTGTTCTGATTGGTTTTTATCACATTATTGTTATTGTTAAGGTAGTCTGAGTGATTTAGCACCTTACCATACATTTACAAATGTGTTCTAATGAAAATGGTAACCACAGATTACCCATAGTTTACCATGATATTTGTATAAAACTGTGGTCATGCAAATGGTAATCAATACGCCAAAAAACGTTACTACACTATTACTATAAGACCATGGTTCATTTTCGTAAGGATTTTTAGCACATGTTGATAAAATGGTCTGAGTCATTTTAACGCATTGCTATTGCTCTAGTATTTTTTTGTAGCGCTTTGCTATTCTTTTGCTAAGGTGTTGCGAGTTTAACATATTGCATTTGCTGAGGTGTTCTGTGTGTTTTTTAGGCTAAACATTTGCTAATGCTTAATATTTTTAGCATGTTGCTACAAGTTTGATAACAAGTGCTGTTTAGCAGGTGGCAGTATACTTGCTAAGGTGTTTTTAGCACCTTGCTATCCATTTGCTAAGGTGTTCTAAGTGTTTTTAGCACATTGCTAGCCTATTCTTTTGTTAAGATGTTCTGAGTTTTTTAGCACATTGCAATTCTTATTTAGCACACTGCGAATTTAGCATTAACACATTACTGTTGTTATAGTGTTTTTTAGCATGCTGCTGTTCGTTTGCTAGGGCATTGCAAATACATTTGCTAATTTTCTGAGTGCCAGTGCTCTACATTTGCTAAATTAGGTGGGCGAAGATTTATTCTTGCAGATTTCAGTGAAATTTTGCTTAATGTGAACACACGTTTAGTAACAGACTTGTTTTTTCAATTGGTGAGCTTGATCTTGTATGGCACTGATCATTCATTCCTCTATGAATGAATGACTGTTTCCTTGGTGATACTGAATGAACTCATAGTATGGAGCTATTTTTAGACTGCTGTGTCGCAACGGTTAAAAGACTCATGGATGATCGTTCATGTGTTACTGAGCCTTAAAGTCCCTTTAGGTATGACACAGCACTATGCCATATGCTTGAGCAAATTGCCTGTGGTTTTTAATTCACACCCATGTGTTGGCAAGAAAATATGCAAACATGGTTGTCTAGCTACAAAGAACGTGATCTTAAAGGGAGAGTTCACCTAAAAATGAAAATTCTGTCATCATTTACTCATGTTCCTAACATGTATGAGTGTGTTTCTTCTGTTAAGCACAAAAGATATTTGAATAAAGTTGGTAACTAAACAGTTGACAGTAGCCATTGACTTCCATAGTGTGGGGGAAAAAAAATACTATGGGAGTCAATGGCTACCGTCAACTGTTTGGTTACCAACAATCTTCAAAATATCTTCTTTTGTGTTCAACACAAGAAACAAACTCATACAGGTTTAAACCTGGAAATATTTAGAAATGTAGGATTTTGCAAAATTAAAAACATGGAAAAACACAAGAAAGAAGACAACAGACACCAATAGTTTCAACATGAACTGATGTGATTTTACTGCATTTTAAGTAACTGACATGTCTGTTATTACACTGTATATCTTCAGGGAGAGAAAAACGCTCTTCCAGTGAGTTACCAGCTTCAGATAATTGTTCTACGACTCGATCGTTTTGAAAAGATAGCAAGTCTCTATTGATCACAGCCTCTCTTTTCTCCAGAATGCAGTCTTTAAAAGCACTCAGTTGATGTATCGAGTCAATACAACACACAACATAGGTGTAGATGTGCTGGACAAAACTGAAGGGAGAAGAAAACAATCATCAAACAGGACTAAAGAGGTGTACCTGTAGATCGCTATTCAGGGCCTCTTGGTGTTTCTGTCAAGAAGAAATTCTATTTCAAGGAACGTTATAGAAGGCAAGAGGGTTGTTTGTTCAACTGGACACTATGGATCAGCTTTATCGTAGGTGATCCTGTGCTGTTGACCTCTAGCATCAGTTTTATCCATTGGTTTGCACTCGTAGTATATGTTTTTCTTTTCCTCTGCGTATGATATTCTACAAGTCATATACATCCATATAGATAGATGAATGCTTTATGTCAGCATACACGGTAAGCTGGGGGACTATATATGAAGACAACAACTACGACTTCACAGCACTGGCATTGGTTAATCTTTAAATACTCAAGCATTATTATTCATAGACTAAAGAGAAAAGGAAAATAATAATAACCCCCCAAATAAGATACACAACTTTGTTTTCCCCAATATATATATATATATTTTTGTATACTAATGGCATGACATAAGCCTGTTTAAATCCATATCACTTGGAGGCAAGGTGAAAATAATATTCAAACATCTATCAAATGGGGAAATTTCCCTTAATTTTCAAACATTACCATGCATTACATTTTTATCATTTTTTAAGTTCACTTGCTTGCTCTTTTTAGTTAACTCTAGAGTAAATAAATGTTGTGTTAAGATAGTGTTGTCTTCACATAGACTCAAAGAATGCATTTTTTGTCATTTCATATCATGGGACACATCCACCATATTGCATGTTGACACGTGTAGAAGGATGCAGCGGCGTCGTGGGGGCTTTCGGGGGGACGGGGCGTAAGGGTGGGTTCAGCTCCTAGACGACAGCCTTTGAATCCTTGCAGTCCTGAGCAGTGGTGCCTGAGTTAGTCGGTTTGCTGTCCGTCCGCTCGGCCAGACGTTTCGCTTGTCTGCAAGACAAACAGGTTCAAATGAAGATTAATTATGATCCACCACTGCATTAAAAAAATACAAAAATAAAGTAATAATAATATAATAACATATAAATAATAATATTACACAAACTAAGTTCTGTGTAATAAAGTAGAATGACACAGGGAAAAAGTAACGAACACATGAAGAAAGGGAGGTGCAAAAAGGTATGAAAAGCCAAGACACCAGCTGAAATCTATCAGTAATTAGAAAGCAACCCTGCCCCTTGTCAGTGGAAATTAATATTAGCTGGTTCAGTCCCAACTGATGGCCTATAAAAATGTGTCTTATTACCAACGTGTCATACAAAAAACATTTCATGATGGGTAAAAGCAAAGAGCTCTCTCAAGACCTTCGCAACCTTATTGTTGCAAAACATACTGATGGCATTGGTTACAGAAGGATTTCTATATTTCTGAATGTTCCAATGAGCACTGTTGGGGCCATAATGCAGAAGTGGAAAGAACATAATTTCACCATAAATTAGAAAATAATTATCAGAAGAGTTGTCCAAGAGCCAAGGATCACTTGTGGAGAGCTTCAGAAAGACCTGGAATTAGCATGTACAATTGTTTCAAAGAAAA